TATATACTCTCCTCGACCTAAAATGTAAGACGTTTTTTGATATTATGATAGTGTCAAAAAAATGTCTTATATTTTAAGACCGAGGGAGTAGTTTCAAAAGAAAGAGTGTATCGTTATACTTTGTAAAGCACCCCAATTTTGGCAAACTTAAGCACATGACTACATGAGTAGTAGCTTCTGGTGTATGCATAGAAATATATACACTATCGATCAGATTGGTAGGATTGGAATCTTCCGAAACTTGTTCGCCCTTCCGAAAAAGGAATGCACACTTACAGTGGCATGTGGAGTCCAGGGTTCAGCCAGCCAGCACCAGTAGACACTAGTTCAGTGCTGGGGAAGCTCCAGGTAAAGGTAGCTAATGATCAGGTCTAGCCCACGCCGGACCACCGGCCGCTACGGCCTGACTGTTCCTGCCGGCATCGGCATCAGACGCAATCTTCTTGTTGCTTGTTGAGTTTGTTATACTAGTACCAAGTTCAGTGTCGTACCTTAGGAATACGGTCTGTATAACTAGGTGTATATACAGCTACTAATGAAGCTTGCTAAACTATGGAGAGAGATTGATCAGTACATGCATGCAGCTTTCACATGCACTAGTTACTCCTAACTTGATTTGACTGTGGACAGGGGATATGATATTTGGCTTTGATAACACTGGATTTCCATTTGGAGGAGGGTCGCCGTCAAATTATACTACCTAGGTCGGTTCCGAAGTGGGTCATCCAGAGAGCGACCATCGACATGGAAACGACTGTGGGACCAACCAAAGTAATTAATTAATTCTTCTGCATGATCATAGGGCATATCCCCACTTGGATCCGTAGGTTAATCTGAGTGATTTGAAATAAGGCTGGTTGTAGTGGGGAGTATCATATACTAGTATCATGCATATAATACTAGTCTATGATACTACACCCCTAATGCATAGTATCATATGTTAGTATCATAGAGGACTATATTTTTTACCATGCATGACACAAAGTAGCACATCATTTAATATGATACGGTATCATGATATGATACTCGAGCTTCTCTTTCTTCATTTAATTCTATGCCATCTCATCAAAATTGCTTAGTTGGCATGCATGATACTACCTATGATACTCCCATTATGGACAGCCTAAGCTCCACGCCTCCACCCTGGGACTGCTGCTATGCTACGTGCTCTACTATTTGGTGCATGTGGCATTTCGCAGAGAGAGAGGGAGAGATTAGTTGTAGCTAGTTAGAGAGAGAGTTGTAGCGTTCCTGACTCCAGCTCCCATGAGTGGCTGGCAGTGGGCCGGCCCTCTAGAACGCCACCATATATGTGGGAGGCAACCCCGTAGCCCCCGTTACATTTCACTCCACTCCACCTCCTCCCTCCCCCTCTCCTCCATCCTCTCCGGCCGGCCACATCTGAGAGAGACGCATACACGCCAGCACGAGCAGGGCCGGGAGAGGGAGCAAGCCTCGGACGGCTCGGACGGCGCCGTAGCGGGCGGTCGCTGTTGGTGGCGGGTGGAGGTGGTGGCGGTTACGGTGGAGAAAGGCGCGGAGCGGGGTGGCCAATTGGGAAAGGGCACCAGGAGATCCAGGGCTCCCCGGATTTCAGCCAGACTTTGCCCGCAATCCATCCGCCCTTTCCGCCGGTCGGTGTCCCATCCGTGCGTGTCCCTCTCCCCCTCCGCCCCGGCGAAAGCGAGACGACACAGCGTGCGTGCCTATATAGCTTCAACTGCGTGATCAAGCCCAAGCTGCCTATAGCTAGCAAGCTACGAGTTGGTGTGGTAAGAGGAGATATAGACCGGCCCTCTATCTTCTGTATATATTCTTCTTATCTAGCTAGCTGCCTTCTCTTGCGGTGCGGCCTGTGTATAAATTCGGGCGGCGCTCGTCACACTCGTTGGGTAAGGAGCGCCTGCTCTTTCTCTCTCTTTGGATCGATCGAAGGTACTTGAGAGAGGTTGCCAACTGATCAAGTTGGTTCTCTGATAGGCGCAAGGAGAAGTACTTACTACACGAAGAATCTGCAAAGACCGTGCTCTGATAGGCTGGGGCGTGCGCTGCCGCTGATC